ACCAACCTCTTCAAAACAAGTAGTTCCCAACCCCCCCCAACTCATGCCCCGTCCCCTATAATAGTGCTGGTGAGCGCAGTATTTTTGCACCCCAAAATGCATAATAATGCACCGTTGCTGGCGCGACGTGCGCCTCCTGCTACTACTACTACTACTACGACGACGACGACGACGACGACGACGACGACTAGTACCAATACTAGTTCTAGCGAGTACTAGTAACTAGTAACTAGCACCGGCACAGTGATGATGACTGTAAACATGTTAAGTACAACTTTAGCACTGATTGCAAGAACAGTCCCACAAAATTGAAAGTAAGAAGCTGAAAGCTGCAAGCAGAGGCAAGGAAGCAGAAAGCAAGGAGGCTGACAATGCGCGCAGAAAGCAGCAGGAAAGGTAAAAAAAAGGAGTCAACAGTCAAAAGCGAACAAAAAGCAACTTTAAAAAATACATCCCCATCACCAGAAAGAGCACACACACACACACACAAAAGTCTCGTCCACATCCATGCTGGAGTCCCCAGCTTGAGGCAAGCTGCAAGGACTCGTCTTACGTGGCCGACGTTCAGGAAGCACTGGTCCAACCACATGTCCTGCAACAAAGATGACTCCACATGCAGAAAGCAGCAAAGAGAAAATGTCCTCTCCCCACTGCCAGTTGCCCCAATCGTTCATGGACCAGAAGCAATGTATGGCAACTTGGCTCCCAAGCATGGATGTCTGCATACAGCACAGCATTTTGCCACTGAGTTGCCCTTCGCAAAAGTGCCTAAGTTATGCAGCTCAAGAACAGATTTGGGAAAGGACATGCTCCGAAAAAATTGCCACATATTGAGATCAAGTGCTGAGTGCCGCCTGCGACAGTACCTCGATGGGTCCATGAAGGCCCTGCGGGCAATTGTTGAGATAGACGCCAGGCTCCTTCGCTTGGTCTTGTCAGGACAAGTGCTTGGCAAAGACAACCCGCTTTCTCCAACTTGCGATGCTCTCCTGGGTGAGGTTCGCAGCCTCTTGCTGCTTCAGAACGGGGACGAGCCGTGTCGGAAACCAAACGGTGTCTGGGTCAACTTTGACAAACCAGTTCGCCTGACTGCCACGCATGGTCCCCGCAGTCTCTTGCATTTGCCAGGCCAGATGACTAGAAGGGTGGCAAGTTACCTTCAAGTAGTCACCATCCTGGATGACAGCCTTCCAGAATGCCAGGAAAGGCCTGGATCTTCGCGACAACATCACACGGTCGCAAACTGCTCAGAATGTGCTTACTCAGGTCAGGGTTGCAAATGCCCTGGATGAGGGAGAGATAGAAAGAAAGAGATGGGTAGGGTAGAAAGTGACACAAATAAGGAAAGAGAGACAGAAGGAGACGCATCTGCACTTTCCTGTCAGGTTGCGGGGCGTGAACTCACAGGCCACGGTACGGGAAGCTTTGAACTCAGCAGCTCTCCTTTCAAAACTGCCATTGCAGGAGAAGAGGCAGGACATGTTGCGGACTGTTCAGCTGGCTCACACATCACGTGTCGGACATTGGACGGCAGAAAGGGGAAAAGGCACGAGAATCTGAAAGGATTGCCCTGGCAGCAAAACAGCTTCTCTGTTGCCTGTGGCCAGGAAATATCAGCACTAGCTCAACATGCGAAATGAAAAACAATATCAATTTCAGAATCGAGCAAGTGGTGGACACGTCTGGCACTCCTGCCAGATTTTAGAGAAGTCGGTTTTGTCAACTACACCTGTCGACGCAAATGGGAAAGTCTGCTTCCACCATCTTCCACCCGGCTTTTGTGCATTTTTTTGCTACCTCGTGTAGCGCGCGTCTTTCAAGCTGCAATCTTCCATTTTGTTTCCAGTTCCATATGCGCACACTTCTAGTCACTATTCTAGTCATGTCTCTTTCGAAGCTGTTCACGGTAGAACCCGCTGCAATGAGGGAGAGATATGTGGAATTTGCATGGCTGCATCTTCTACGTGGGCACCCCCTCTTGGAAGGGCCCGATAGCTTCCTTTTTCTTTGCATGTTTATCCTGTTCTGCGTTTGTGGCTTCAGCGCTGTGCGAATTTGCGGGAACTTAGCGACCCCAATCAGCTTTTTTCGGGCCCTTCAAGCTCTCAGCCAAGCGGGTCTAAGAAACACATCAAAGGATTCAAAAAAAAACGCTTCTGTGGTCTCTTAGGATTTCAGTCAACAATTTTGAAAGGGAAGTCATCTACTACTTGGACAAAAAGTCTTGGCCACGGGCTCCGTATTCAATGCAGTGCCCCACTGGCCACCTTTCTCCGCAACCTGGTATGATGCATCTCTACTCAGCTCTGCACTACTTGAGCCGGGTGCTGTGCTGATACTCGGCGGACCCAGCTGCTGACAACCAACACTTGTAGCTTGGTTACGGATGACTAGCTGGGCACCAGTAGATCATGCACCTGCTGCCCTTTAGAATCTGGAGCCCTTCTTCGGTGTTCGCAACTGCAAGAGTTCCCACCCAACTACCCGCAATTGCAGCCTGCGAGGTGTTCATGATTCGCGTCACCAGTCCAGGGGCCAGCTCCAGCTGCTGGCTGCTGTAAACCTGCGACAACGGCATGCGGATGCATATGGTATGGAGGAAAGAAATGCTGCACCAAGAGCGCACAACATTTTAAATCTTTGAGGGCTCCTGTGAACTGGGGCTCGGACACCCCAAAGATCACAAGAAAAGATGCTGTAGTAGTACCTTAGTAACTGAGTGCAGGAGCCACGGCGTCAACGTCAGGAACTCCGCGCGAATTTTAACCAGGTGCTGGTACTGCATTATCACCAGATCGACCTGAGGGCAAACCCGTATGTGCCCCAGGTTTCTGTCGGAGGGCGTGCCTCATACGAATATGGAAGGATCACCATCGTGCAGTACATCGACGCATCCGGCGCAGCCCGAAACGCCTGCAGCGTGCCCATCCCTCCGCAAGCAATCGCAAGGTGGGGCTATATAATGACCCCCATACCCTTCTTCATACAAGACTGGGGTCATCGTTTGTACGCAATCTCGTTCATTTTCTTCTGATCAGCTTTTGGGCTACTGTACCAGCACCATTTAGGGGAATGTTCGGGCTTGACTACATTCTTAGGAGGGGGTATTGTACAACCGCGGGTGTCACCCAGCCTTGGGCTTTGGCATGGTGTGCTTTTCCACTTCCTGCAATGGCCATGGGTATGGCCGCTCCTGCCGACAGGTCAAACAAAAAACACATGGCCTTCAGACATGGCGAGCTGCAGGGTCCTCGCTCTGGCAGGGGAATCCGGCATAAACGCCCGCCTCCAATATTCAATGACTTGTATACCAGTCTCACTTTCCGCGCTGGCGCTGCGGGGCACAGCAAGGCTCTAGTGCAAGAGACGCTTGAAACTAAAGGACTTCACCATGTCTGTTCAGCATTTTGAGTAGGCTTTCACCTTCGGCTTCTTCACGAGATCCTTTTGCCTCATGCTGACACTTGCTCATGCTGGCCGCGCAAAGCTGTGGAGCTTGTTCGGAGGCATGATCTGACTTGGGCAGCAAGAAAAGCCAAGCCGCTTCAGAAAGCATCCCCAATTGTTCCAGGAAAATCCATGACAAGCAGGATTCCAAGTGCAGGCCCTCTGACAGTGTGCGGGTGACTCTCTGCCATTGGGATCCTGCCAAGTGATTTGGCTGTCCAAGTCCTGAACTTTCGCCCTCTCGCTATGCTGAATCAAAACATAGGTTGATGCAGCACTTCTCTCCATCCATAGCAAACGAATCCGTTCAGCAAAGGCACTGTGTTGACCAGCTGTGCCTTCAAGTTTGCAGCCGAGAGATTCTGTGGCGCAACCGAGGCAAGACCAAAGGTAGGAGCACACGGAAAACACGCGGAGCTAACCTGCCTTGCAGTCATGCTGGCCTTGCCAAATATGCAGCTCTCTGATTTCGTCCCGGCGCTTTACAAAAGCCCAGTGCTCTTTGATCCTCACATATCCAAGCACATCACTGCCCGCTGCTTCATCGCTTGGCTTAGCACACACAAAAACATATACACCCGCGGCCAACACATCTCCAAGGTGCATCCGCTGGTGGTAGTCGTTTGCAATGCGCTTGTGTTCGGCACACTCCTTCTGTGCTGGCGTCGGCTTCCTTTGCAAGCAGGAATCTGTAACACTGCAACATGCGTGACTGTACAACAGATACAACAGGCCAAAGAATAGGTGGGAGACTAGGTTGGAGGCTAGGTGTGGCACATCAAAATCCGAGGATCGCTAGGACCCATCCAGTTCGGTTGGATGCACGCAGCCTCCGCGCTTTGGCTGCCCCATCTGCAGCCGTTCCATTCAGTTCGCTCGCCTTCTAAACAGTGCTCAGTGCAATCCGATTTGCTGAAGGCAAGCACAGGAAGAATCAAGTTCTGAATATCCTGGTGCTGAGCGTGTTATGGCCGCAGCAAACATGCCATGTGAAGGCAGCCCCTTTCCCATGCTAAGGGCTCCTACATCGTGCCACGAGATAGGCCAGGAGGGGAAAATCAGAACTTGACCACTTCCGGCCAGCACGGGCTCGCCTTGATCAAGGTACCAGGAGCTGGCCCGCTGTCGCAAACTGGCATAGTGAAGTGGTCCCAGCTGTCCTTGCGCACAAGGGGTAGCACAGTTCATTGCAGACACGAATCCTTCATGCCACCTAAGATATTTTAAGGAAAGTGAATTGCAATCAGGCTACCCTCACCGGTTGGCCATGCGGATCATTGTGCCAAAGGTTGGGCTTCCAGAGCTGCACATCCGCAGTAGCCGCAGTAGCCGTGACCAGGCCGGCCTGCATCAATTTCATCCATTTGCCAAAAGCAAAGCAAAAGCAGAGCCACGCTTCAGCCTCTTGTAGGCTATGCCCTGTCACTGGAGCCCTCCAGCCTGTCCTCAGGGCTGCGTGGCTGCGTGGGTTTGCATGTCTTACACGTGTGCAACTTGTGCAAGGCAAGGCCGTCCTCACAATTCCAAGCATCACAAGGCACACCAGGAGGAGGACACCAAATCCAAACACCACGCAGAGCAGCTTTCCCGTCTTCAAAGCGAGAGCTCCTGCAAGCAGCTTACGTGCACGTAAGGAAAAGCTAATGCTGGCAAGAAACGCTGCATGCCCTGCAAGCTGAGGCCTGCTTCTGCTGGCTGCTTTTCTTCACAACCCATTTCGGATGCACATGATGCAGGAACTCGCAGATCCTCGCAGGCACCATGCACTTGTGCTTGACACAAAATGCTCAGCTTCAAGCAGTAGAAATGAAGCCGTGTCACGTCATCTGAATCGGCGATGTCTCTGAAAGAGGCATACGACACCAGGGGGTGGGTGCTTTCGCCCATGGCTTCGGCAAGACCGCTGTTTTTTTCGTGTAGGTAGGTCATTCCAATTTTGCAACTCATCTGATTGTGGGTGTTGGAGGCCAACAAGTACTATCTTATCTGGGCCGTGCCTGCGGACGGAGCACGAGCAGAATGGTCTCAGACAGCCACAATTGACAGCCTAGATCCACGTAAAGCCGTGTGCCAACAGCGCATCCGGTTTCCTGCATCATGCAACATGACCTGTGGGGAGGGCAAGCACCAATTCCTTTCTCAAGTTCTGGTCCACGGCCGGGTCGAAGCCCTTCCCTTGCGTCTGGGCCTGGGACATGTCCACTTGCGACGATTGGCACATGCAGGAAATGTTCGGATGTTTCTCGCAGCAAGTGAAGGCCCCTGCTGCTGCAGCGGCTTTTTCGGCCTGTGCAACTTTTTGAGCTTGTGTGCATTTGAGTATGCTGTCTAGCGTCTAGCAGCGGCTAGCATTACTTCCCACCAATCCTCACGAGATGGGATGCTGCCTGGCCTCCGTAAGCTTCTCCTGCAAACCTTTGATTTGCGCTTGTGCCGCGGTTAGCTCCTTGCACAACCAAAGGCAAGGTTTTGCAGGTTGCAAGCTTTTCCCCAAAGCCTCCTTTGCTCGGGCGCACTCTGCACTCACGTCGCCGACCTTCTTCTGCGCCTGGAGCAATTTCCAGATGAAAGCCCATTCCTCGCAAGCAAGCAGTGCGCAGGAATAGATGAGGTGATTATGCCTCTGACAGCTCCGCTGCACCTTGACAAATCTCTGGAAACGTATGAGGCTTTACTGGTTGCAATGTTGCTATGAGCACTTGGACCGGGGCGTTTCCTCAATTCACCGGCAGACTGCGCACCCTTGCCTGGTTCTACACACAGCTCACCTGCTCTTGTGCTTTGTTGTGCTTGAGGCGCTAGCTCTCAGTGGACTCTTCCAACCTAAGACTTTAAGCAGCTGCCTCTGCAAAGGACTCATACCATCTCCCAGCACCTGGCTCCTTGAGGGTCGCTTCCTTCTCCTGCAAAGCCTGACGTAGCATTCGGAGCTCATCCTCCGCCACAGTGCCCTGGCAAGCAAAAGAGAACAAGCTGCCTGGCAAGAAGCGCAACCAGCGCCTGTCGGGCTGCTTTGCTCCTGGGAATCTCCCCGCCGTGTGTTCTATCGCTTCCGCGCACAATCTGAAATCAACACACCTGCCTCAGCTCCTCAGCCTTTTCGAGCTGCTCTCGAGCCCTCGGGACTCAGTCGATTTTGTGATCTGCGCGAAAGCTTTTGCGAAGCTCCACGCTGCTTCTCTGATGCTGCCAATCGCTTGCACTCGATCTGGGCAAGTCACTCCACACTCAACCCCTCAACAGTCAGCTCACTTTGAAAGCATCAAGCTGGAGAGGCCTGTGACGTGTAGAGCTCATCTTGGATCCGACGAAGCTCGCCGCGGACCTGTGCGAGTGAATGAATCCGAGCTCAACACTCATAAAATCTCCTTAATCTAAAGAATCTTTATTGGGGGTGCCGTTGGGTGGTCAAAGAGCACCTAAAGGGCACAGGCATTCATGGGCCGAAAACCCCAGAGATTTAGAGAAATCGATGTCCAGACCCTAAAAACCAGTAGCAATGATGTTTGACTTGGTTTTGAAATGTTTCTTAAATTGATTTTGATTATTTGCAACTGATTTTGAGCAGCTGCTAACTCATTTCAGATTCAGGAGAAGCTCAAATTTAAAAGGTCAGGGTTTGGGGAACCTCGTTTACTTGGCTGCCCCAAATTACAAACCGCAAAGCTGATTCTGAAACCTAACATGTTTGAGCTGCCACTTGGGGAGCTTGCATGATGGGGTGGGAGGCCCCTGGACAATAGAAAAAAGCTACCTACCTAGTTGTTCCCTATTGAAAAGCTCGGGCTTGCTGTTATACATAATTAATCGTCACCCCTGCAGGAGCCTTGGCCAGCTCGTCAAGGAGTGCCTTATCCGGCTTCTCTCGAGTCACCTGCTCGCGGCTGCTAGTTACTTGAAACTTCGCGCTGAGGTCCAAGCTTTGGACAAGGCTTTAACCGATCCGCCCAGGCATCTGTCCATCGACAAGCCCGCATGCTGCCGGACAGCGTCTTTGGATGTCCGACGTGACAAGGCGCTAGGGAGCCGAAGCCATCTTCAGCTGCTCTTCTTCTCCATCGAGCTTGACCAAGCTGTGCGCCGTGGAAAGTGCACTACAGTGCATCATACTTGAAGATGCTGGGGTCGTGCTCGTGAAGGAAAGTTTTCCTGCGCTCAATCTGCCTCTGCGTCTTGGGACCAGATCCGAAGTAGAAGACAAGCACCAGCGGGTTGTGAGCAAAGCCCGTCTTGGCTTGACGCACACCGAGCTGACTGAATTCTTGACTGCAAGCCCAACAGCTTAAAGCCAAGCAACGCCAGTCTGAACTTGAATTTCATACCATTGCCTGGCACTGACAAATGCCAGCGCGCCCGTCGGCACTCCTGAACCGATGGAGCTTTGTCAGCTTTATGGCTGCAACCTTTTGTCCTGAGCCTGCTTCGAATTCGTAGGAGGGCTGCACATGCTCAAAGCTCATGTTGCGGTGTTTCGGGACATCGCAAGCAGGCAAGCGGGGGTCAACCACAGATCGTAGTGTCCTCAGCAAAGCAGGGAGACATGTGGCAAGCTTGTAGGAGGGAATCTACAACATAAGAAAGGCAGGCTGACAAATATCGAGCGGCAAGTTGCCGGGGCCGAGCATGAGCAAAGCTGCAGCATCAGCTACAAAGCACTCAAGTCCCAAACTCGCAGTGGACTTGCCGTTCAAGTATGTTCTAGCCCTGATGTCGGTCAGTGCCAGGCCTGTTTCAAATTCAGAGCTGCAGTTGTGGGGCAGCAGCCAGCAAGCACTCAGCGAATGAGCCATGCTTTGTTGCAAGGCCTCCCATTGCCTTCGACACAAGCATGCCAATTTCGATGAGCGGCGCTGCATGCAAGCCTCAGCTCATGCTTTAAGACACACGTCATCCACTTTTGGGGATGGGGCATGCCAATGCAAACGAGCCACCATCACGTAACTGTGCCTCCAAAGCTACCCCTCCTCTCAAGCCAGCTAAACCATTAGTGCTTTCACATCGGGCTCTACTCTATATGCCATGCTGAGCTCGCGAGGCTTAAACCATCATAGTTCATAGTTTATAATCAGGCGCGTCCTTCAATCACAAGGAACCAGATGGTAGAGGAGCGAAGCAGCTCGATGAGCTTATCCAGCACCTGAAAGAATCATGCCGCCAGAAGCAAACCTTTACTGTTGTTTTGACAAGCCAAACCTCGCCGGGCACGGCATCCACCTGTACCACTGGTTGCACCACTTGCGAATCTGCCGGAGACTGGTTGCGAAGCTGCCGTGCTGGCGCTGCCATCACGCGCTGCATCCTCAGTCAAGGTGCAGACATCTAATTACTATTCAGAATGCGGGGACGAGGTTTCTCTTCTTCTTCTTCTTCTATAGGCTATGCAGCATCAAGGATGCTGCGGGGGCGAACCCCCAGCCCGGGCGGTCCGTTGAGCAGCAAGGAGGTTCTCATGTTCACCGGAACGTTAGGTTCATACCCCATTATCTTCTTCTCCCCCCCCCCCTTCCGGTGCAGTTCCCCTCTCTTGCGGGAAAATGGTCGGGGCTACCTTCAGGAAAAACAGCCAAATGCTGGTTCGTGAGCCGAGGTAAGGTTGAAGAGTGATCATCACTTAACCCCCAATTGAGAGCACAATCAACACCCGTACAGCATAAGGTCATCACTCTTCCCTGCTTCTCACTGCAAGGTTTCTCTCTCTCTCTCTCTCTCTCTCTGGCAGGGAGAAGGCTATGGGCGAAACCATCACATTGCTTGTGCTTGCTGCTGTTTGCTTGTTCGCCTGAAACTTCTCCCCATGCAATCCAGTTGCTGCTCTGCTTGCCACGGAAGTAACTGGAAGCCGTCCGGAACATGCAGCGCGCGGTTCAGCATGTCACCGGCACCAGCTGCCACTTGCACCAGGGCTGCACCATTTAGGCTGCCTGCAGGAGCTCACTTTTTTCCTCAAGAAACTTCTCAGGAAAGCCTTGCTCGGACCTGCCAGGTAACGCCCCAGCTCGCGCCGCAATGAAGCTGCTTTCTCCAGGTACGGCTTCAACTCCGGCACGCTTTGTGCTAGATAGCCTTACCATATCGGCCATGATGAGCCACCCGCATCAGCATGAATCTCACTGTGACAAAACTGAGGAATCGGCGGAGCTGATCTTCGTCATGCCGAAGTTTCGGAAAGTTCAAAGTTAGCTGGTCCGGCTCGCCACTCTCCAGCGAGACAGACATCTTTGCTTGACCACTACGTCGAAGACTCAGCGAGAAATGCCTACAGCAACCACGACAGCTAGCACAAGCACTGGCCTTCTTGGCATCTCACTGACCAACCCCTGCAGCTTTCCTTGTCTGACCGTTGAAAATGTGCTCATGCTGCCACGCATCCACCACCGGCGGCCGGCATCCCACTGTCTCTTGCCAATCAAGTAAGCACTGACCAAGGCGTTGCAGTCTGCTTCGGGCACGCCCTCCAGCGGCTCACGGACAACGAAGTACACGCTGCGATGAGCAGAGCAAGTATTCCAGACCTGGGAAAAGCGGGGAGAATTCTCCAAATCTTAGTCTTAGCCACTCTGCCCGCGCCCCCGCACCCCCGCACCTGCTCCGAAGATATTCTCCCTGCTGCAAAGGACTCAAGTACTGACGAGGTCGCAAATGCAAGGTCCTGGGCAGGAGTGGTCGTCTGCAGTCTTTGCAGGTGTTCCATGCTTTGGGTACAAGCCAAGTATATATGCGAGGTCCTTCTCTGGGTTCGTAGGTGCAGGAGGCAGCGGGTTCGCTTCAGCTGCCCACGTGCAATGAGCTATACTGGTGCCGCAGCAGCGGATGCCAGGGACAGAGGATGGAGCATCAGGACAAACAAGCCCACAACTGCAAGGCAAGTCCCAGCGAATTCCGGTGTAGTACCTCAACTTCACAGACACGCCCTCCCATTCAGCACCAGGAAGTGTCACATCCTCCAAGGCACTCCAAGCGGTCGGCTCGCCCATGGTGCGACCAGCAGCAGAGGAATCCGTCTGTCCCGCATCCCGACTGGCCAGGGGAAGGTTGGCAGGCTGCGCCACGGTACTGCACGAATGATTCATCGCGGCAGGCCATGAACCTGTGAGGCCACTCGTGGTAGCTGCAATTCGTCCTGCCAAATTTCGACCCGCCACTGACATTGCTTCATCTGACTTTATGACAGCAATTGGTACAAATGCAAAATCAACGGTGCCGCTTCGACAATTTATGTTGCATCGACGTCCTACCTGAGCTTCTGCGCAGAAACGTCAGCACTTGCCTCACACCCGCCCAAAGCACCATCAACGCTGCGTCGAGTGGCACCACCTTTTCCCGAAAGTCTAGCGTTTCGCATCGACAGAATCGTGGTTTTTGAGCTCCAACATCTTTGAAACGTGCTGTCTGCAGACCCAAGTTGTCATGGCGAGAAAAGCTCGGGAGAATGATGGCTTACAATTCCGAAGTGTGAACCCAGCAGTAGGTCGCGGCTCGAAAAACTCGATAAAGTCTTGCCTCTAGGCTTTTTAGCTCAAACGCGGCGTGTCAAGTCAAAAGTCGTTTTTTTTGTTTTTTTTAATCCAGATTTGCAAACCTCTAGAAGTGGCAAAAAAGCTCACGCGGTGACCCTAACAGAAACTTTAAGAGCAGCTTTCATACGAGCTTGAACGGTATCCTTGACAAACACCTTTTGAAGAACAGCCTTGATAGAGCCTTCAAGGACAAATTCCATAGAAACTTTGATGTGTTTCTAAAGAGCTTCGTACAAGCTTTCACAAGAAGCCCCAAAAGAAGAGCTAATGACGTTTGATTTGATGGAAGCTTTGCTGAGAGCGATGATGAAAGCCGTCCTGCAATCTTGAAGAAAGGTTGAATAGTGGCTAACTAAAATGCATACAGGAACCTGCGACACTAGAAACTTGAACCTCAAAGGCGCTGAGGTTTTGGCAAAGGCTCTACTAAACGTTCATACAAGTTTTTGCAGAAGAGTGACCTTAACCTCAGACAGAACTGGTGCAAGAGCTGCTAGGTGTTCATAGAATGATGATGGCGACTCAGATGATCTGATGATAATGACAAATGTGGTGGATGTTCGCTGTTCGCAAGCGCTTTCGGGACATCTGTTGTCTAGTCTGGGCACGCTGTGGACTGCAATGGATTCTGTACCCACCGGACCAGAATTCCACCCATCGCTCCGCACGAATGACCCCTACCACCATCATGCCTCCAACAATGCGTGCTACCCGTTGCTGTTATCTGACAACTCCTCTGCATGCCATTGCTGAGTAGGACTTCTCGGATTGCAAGCACATCACCCGGGAAGTACACGGCAGGCTTTTCTTGCCCTGCAATCGTAGCCACGCTTGCACCAGCTGCAAGCTTCACTGGCTTCCCCCACAATTCTTCAAACTTGGGGTCTTCGAGCGTGCCCGCAGGAACCACAGCTGATGAATGGATGTGGTAGAATCGAAACATGTATGCGAAGTAGTCCACGGTACACTTGTTCCCAAGGCTTTCGTTCAGTCCATAGGCCTGAAAGCTGCGACAATTGCTGCAACGCCTTGACATGGGTGTGAAGAATCCCCCGGCCTCAAATGCTGGACAGTTGCGGCAGTTCATGTTGTTGGGGAGTACGAGTCGTCGGCCCATGGACCGGGCAACTTCTAAAGCCCCTTTCAAGTGGGTGAAATCCTCCTCCAAAGTCAGATTTGAGGGATGCTTGTAGAGGAAGAACTGCGGCGTGGGGCCAAGGCGCTCTTCAGATGTGAGGAACCATAAGCAATTGAGCTTGGGCTACACCCTGTTTGGATAATACATGTATGCGCTAGAAATTGTTCAGCACTGCAGGACTCTTCTGTCGGGAGTCTGCCAAATCGTCCAGGAACCAAACACCGCGGTCTTGAAGAAAATACTCTTTAGGCCCAACTCCATTGGCATGAGCCAATGCGGGCAGGGTCGTCGAGCCTTGAAGGTGGGCCTTCCGCCAGAAGAAATTCACTCCATTTGCCACGACCTGTGCCACATTGCAAGGCAAGCAGCGTGCGAAGCAAGGCTTTTGCAGAGCGAAGCCTCTCTGGGATCCAGAACGCGCAGGCGTAGGGTTTTTGCTGCGTTTTGTCCTGCTTCACCTCATCAGCCACTAGCTTGCCCGCACCAAAGACTGGCCGGAAGAATAATTGCAGAATATCACCTGCCTGATGCAACATTGAGTACGTTCTCCTTGTAAAGGCCACGCACGCAGGGAGAACAACGCCGCGCAGCGCTCCTTACGAACCTGGAGTCGAAACGAAGCTTGCAGTGCATCAAGCAATGCAGCCCGGCAAAAGATAGCAGGTCGCAAATTGTCAGACTGCTGCCGGCTGGGGATACCGAGTTCCTGACTTGTTGAATACTCTCTGATCAAATGGGTCGCGCAAGAGTCCGCCAGGCAGCGACTCAAGATCATTTTCCTGGCACCGGCGGGCAGCTAGTTGGGTAAAGCAGCATCCCAAATACCAGATGACCAAGCAAGGGTCTTCAAGGAAGGAGTCCAGGAAGGCGTGCAGTGTCTGAGATGGCTGCACGAAAATGAAACCAGTGCTAAGGTCATCTTCAGGACGCACCCAGCCTTCAGCGGATACCAAACAAAGTGCCGTGAATACCGTCAAGTTGCGCAAGTACGTAACATCAGAAGGAGTCACAGCACGTTTGAGTGATCCACCCCGCTTAGACTCGCTAGACTGACCTGCAGGTATCACAAACTGACGCGGATGCGGCACGCCGAGCCTTGCCACAAATGCTTGTCTGGCCAGAAATGCTCTGTGGCAATCTCCATGTCAGCATCACGGCCCAGAAACGGGAAAGGATCTCGAAAGGCAACAACGTCAGAGTCCACAACGGCCAATGGAAGTTCATATTTCACTGCAAGAAGGAGAAGCTGCCAGCGGAACTTCCAAATGAAGTCTGACGAGATAGGGGTCTTGCGCGAATACAGGAAAGCTTTGAAGCCGTGCTGGCTCATCTCTTTGTGTGCCCCAGCATCCAAGGCCACGACAGCAAACTGCTTCTCCAAATGCGCTACATTGCGGCGGATGGACAAGGCAAAGTTGAGAGCCTCCAGGCGAACACATGCCAATCTGCAGAGGCCTCAACATGACAAGGAGATTGCCAGAAGCTGATTGTCTGCAGGAAGCCTGCTTCACAAAGCTCTTCTCACCAGTGGTCCAGGTCAAAAGGAGTGGCTTCTGCCTTTTCGAAAACGCCTTGAGGGCATCCCCCAGCTCCCAGATCTCCTCCGGCGTGAGACTCGCAGTTCACCCACCCTATAAACCCTGCAAACTGCACCTCTCCTCTGGAAGCTGTTCTGCACGTGCAGGGGGGCTCCCGACCCCCAGTGCCTGGCTGCCACCATCAGTGACACGCATCAACATGCGATACTCATGCGATGGTACTCAACCGACCTGGTAACGCTGTTGCACCCACTTGGCCACGGCATCAGACTGACTGACACCCTCCAGGCTGCACATCCTTGGTCTCAAGGCATGCGCAAGGCTTGTCGCAAGGCTCCAAGCGGACTCTGGGTTCTGGCGCGAATTTAGCGCGACAAGCTGCCAATCCAAGCGATCTGCAGCTGTTTTGGGGATCCATTTTGCCTGTGCCTGTCAACAACCACACATGACAACAAAAGCTTCTCAGAGCCACTTCACGTCACTGCCTCCAACGTGAAGACCAGTACCAGCCAAAAGCATGCTGCAGCCATTCGTCGTCAATCATGGCAGGCGTATGTTGCCAGACAATCAAACTACAAAGCTGTTGGCCGCTGCCTATGCTTCACACATGCTTCTTCCAGGCTCCCTGGCAGTTACAGACTTGAACAGCCCTTGCCAAAATCAAAGGTTCTGCGGTGGCTGTTAGCATTTGCAGGTTGGAAGTGCGCGAGAGCGAGACGGAACTTACCCACCAACTACATAAAAGGAATGCGAGCACCAAGCCGTGATAGCTGAAAGGGAGACATGCGGTAATCCATGCCTGTGATGAATAAATCTCCATAGATCTAATTTTCTTGTTGTGCCAAATTTGGGGTCAAAGACAAGTTTAAGGGCAGAGGCACTTTTGGGCCAAAACTCCTAGGTTTAAAGACAATTATCATCATCAACCCCTAAAAGAAAAGGACTTTTAATTGGTTCCTACTTGATTTTAATTAGGTTTTGATTGGCTTTCAAAAGACTTGGAGTAGCTTTTAATTCACGTCTTGCTTAGATTCAAGAGCTCACGTTGACGAGCTTAAGGTTCAGGGAGACTCGCTTACTTGGCTCCGGAAATGAGAAAAGCAAGGCTGATTTTGAAGGCTGATGTGCTTAGTAAAACTCATTAAATTAAAGGCTCGAAGCTGCCCCTTCCGGAGCTTGCGTAAGAGGGCCTCCCTTCATTTATAGCAAACCACCTGAAATAATCATAGAAAAAACTAGCCACAGAACCGATAAATGGAGCCGCTTGACAAGGCTCCGAACAGTCTCTGGGGCCTGGGGCCCAAGGTGTTTCATAATAATGGGCCTTGGGTTATTAATATACAGGGGGGGCGGGGGGGGCGCCCTTATTAATCACACGCACGGATTAGTCAGAAAGGAAGAGCAATGGCCTTCTTCTCCTGATGCCGTCCATCACGTCTTTCCTTGGAGCGTGCTGGGTGAATTCCTGGGTTGAGTGAGTGTGCCAACCTGCCAACATTGTTCATGTACATGAGGGCCTTGCAATCTTCACAGGGGCGCCTTTTTGGTCAAGCTTGACCTGACAGGAAACATGCTTCCGATGGGCGCCTGCCCGGCTAGCTGACGGCTATCTGCTCAAGCTTTTGTCTTCCGAGTGGTCACTGCAGGCACTTGGAGCCGGCTCCTGCTTCTCCAGCTTGGTGCTCCCAACCTTGACGCTGTGGAGATCCAAGTCGTCCTCCGTCGACGTCGAGCTTGTTGCTGGCCAGTTTCAAGAGCCCGTCATTCGAGAGCAGGCTTCACTTCAAAGAAAGTGGCCAAGGATGCATCCCTGCACAAACAACATCTTTTGCTTGCTTGAGCTCGCGGCAATGGAACTCTGAGCAGATGCTGGACATTCTAGGCTAAGAAGCCCAGTTGCATATGTACCGTCGCGTAAACAGAATTCTCGTCTCCTCATGTGGATGCAAAACAATTCGACTATGCCACAGTAATGGTGACGACGACAACAGTTATAGCAAAAGCAGGAGCAAGCACAACGACGCCAATCGGCGACTCTCGGAACCCGAATGACGACGAAAAAAGCAGCAGCAGCAGCAGCAGCAGCAGCAGCAGCAGCAGCGGCGAACCAGCAGCATCCCTCCATTGCAGCCAGTTGTCGCAGGTCTTGCGGGCGGCCCCCGGAGTATAGTGACAACACCCCGCCACACCACTTTCCAGCAATCACCCGCAGCAGAACAGAAGTCCTTAGCAGCGACATGTGACATCCGACAAAATGCACTGATTTTGCGATCCTCTTGAATAACTCCAACAAACATTCCTCGATGAGCCACGGCCGGTGCTGTGCCGCTTCAAGACGCCAGAGCGATGAGGCCGCTTCTCTCACAGCTACATAGCTGGAGACCGCATCCCGTGCACCTCTACAGGGCGTGTGCTGCACACTTTCATGAGTTTTGGCAAGCACTTTCGGGAAACTGAGATGCCAACCTGCCACAGTCAAGAAGCCGCCGGCAGCCGTAAGGCGGCCATCTGAGTGTCCTGCGAACAACAAGACCACAGCAACCTTTGCGGCAGACACTCTCACCAATGGAGGCCCCGCAGCGCTCCTGCAAGAGTCAGTAGCCCGGCTTTCAAGACCCAGCGTGCTGCACGAGATGGTAACCGATGGCCATGCACTCGCAGGCCCGGCTCTCCCTGTGGCCTCTGGGCTGCAGATGCAAGCCTGCCAAAGCACAAGTATCTCCCAGCCTATCTGCTGGATTCCAGGTGTGGACGGCCAACATGCAGCCCACACAACCTTCGACAACTTTGTTTCTTGCACACGCCCTTATGACTCGTCTGCGGGCCTCCTTGCATTGGCTGCATGGAACCCATCGACTCCAGCTCGATCATCGGCATTGGTTGTGTTGGTTCCAATGGCTTACCCGGTACAAAGCTGGTGCAGAATCCCTGGAATCCATCCTTACTGCGAAGTGTTGGGGTCCAGGGGCACATCAAGCCAACCTGATCAAGTAGTAAAGTCAAAACTCCTCACCTTCAGCTGAGTCTCCTTGGCAACTTCAAAGGCAAGCTTGCGATGCTGCCTGGCTACGAACTGTTCCACGGCCACGAACACATCTTCTCAAACCACCAAAGCTTGTGCATGCAAAGCACGGCCTGGAGAGTGATACCAAGCCTTTGTTGTTCAATCCTCTTGGCCGCAAAGCCATGTGATGGCCAAAAGGGGAATTGGTAATTTGGTATCCCACCTGCCAGGACAAAGACAAAAGATGCAGAGATTCTGAGAAAATTCTCTACCCCACCGCCACTTGCTCCACCCAGGCAGCATCAACATCCAACACCGGAGGAAGAGAGAGCCTCGGCTGTGTTGAAGGTGCTGCCTCGTGTGATTTGGTTCTTGGCAAGTGTCTTAGCAGCTGGGCCACTCCCCTCGAAGTCGGTTGTCTTCCTCAGGCACAGAGAAAAACCATCAAGCACTGCACATGCTGGAACTGAGCAAACGCCTTTCATGACCCTTGGAGCTGGCTCCTCAAGCAAAGCAATGTCCACCCGCGAGTCTGCAAATTGCCATAGCACCACTCCAGCAAAGCCCGCTGCAACCCCAGCAGAGATCGTCGCTCCTCAACAGGTCATCCATCTTGGCTCACACACCACGATGGAGGACAATGAGCAAGCAACGCGAAGCCACTCCTACAATGGCAGCCTGCAGATCTTCGGACCACATCTCCTGATGCGGACACCACACACATTAATCCCTGAGTGCCGGAAGTAAGATGTAATTTTGGAATTACAAAATTGTGCTAGTCTCCAGGCCCGTGCCAGATATGTTCGCAGGTCGGCGAAAGGTGGCCAAGCCACTGGCCCCGGCTTCGGCGATGAGTATGGCCTTGCCTCAGCGTGGAGATGGAACTGAAAGGCCGGCAAGCAGAGCCTTGCTCTGGGAACTTGGCCAGGGTGTCGAGCCCGAACCCAGTCGGCATATCTCTGCCAAGTGGAGGGAATTTCGGACACGGCTGCATCGTACCAACCTGTCACCGGCATGGCGCACAACAGGGTTGAATGCTTGCTGCTGGCCTGGGTAGTCATTGAAGGCTATGACGTCAGCCAAATCCAAGGTTTTGTCTTGCAACTTATGCCTGCCGTCGTATCTGTGGTTGAGTGCGGCCAGCTCAGTGCGATATTCAACAAAGCTTCGGAGCTGCCTTGACGCCCAGGACACCAAGCGAGATGCATCCTTCTGCTTTGTGAAGGTTGCCAGCTGCTGGTATGCTTCCCTGGAGGCCCAGAGGTTCGCCTCGCCTTCATTCAGAAATCCCCACATAATGACCTGGCTGTCGGCAAGGCTAAAACAACCAGCAGATGTCCCACGCTCATCCATCTATACAAACCTTTTTTGCGAAGAGCCTAGGAAGCCGGAGGCCAAGCGTAGCTATCCTAGTTCACTGAAAGCTGGCACACAAATTTGACGAGCTGCACTTGGGTGGTTCATGGAAGCGTCAATGGTCTCATCCAAGGCTTGTATTTGCTGGCCCAGGAAGTTTGGATCCTGAAAGTCTTCCAGAGTTGGCTGCCAGGCTACAGTCTCTTCCCAAACCAAGATCCCATGTTCATCACAGAGGTCCAGGAATCGCTGGTCCTGGCTGTAATGAGATCCACGGACAAAGTTGGCGCCAAGTTCCTTTAGTAAATCGATGTCCCGTTGAAGCTGCATGGACGTCATGAAAATTCCCCCTGATGGATTGCTCTCATGCCTGTTCACTCCAAGCAGTAGGGTTGGTTCGCCATTGATCAGAATTTGGCTGTCCCTTGCCTCTACTACACGCAGTCCGAAGCGAACTTGCACAGCATCAACCTGCGCACCCTCAGAGAACAGGGCAAGCGTCAGTGTATGGAGTTCTGGTTGCGACGGCTTCCACAGTCTCGGTCGTGGAACCTGCTCCAACCACTGATGAATGGTACCAGCCACATGCCGTTCCACTGACCAGGAGGAGTCATCGAAGCGAAGCTTGGCCGTTGTGCCTTGATCCGCAGAGGCTGAACAACTGCACCAACCTTGCCGCCTTCTCAAGCCAATGCATGACTGGCGAAACACCCAAACTACACTTTCACAAAACCTTGTTTCCGCGGCCTGCGGCTCCACTTCTGCGACTTCCAAAGCCCATGTCACAAGGAGTTCATGTTTCATTGGAGGTCGTGACCATCCCGCTGGGTTTACGCTTCGATGCTGAAACATCTATTTCATCCCCAAGCTGCGGCCGCCACATCCTTCAGATAGCTTCAACGTCACCTGCTAAGATTTGTTGATTTAGCTCTCCAGTCTGGCGGAGGTGTTTTTTTTCCTAA